GAAGTATCAAGGTTTCTAGCAAGGCTTAAGAGCCATGGCTAGTGAGTTCGAGTAAGTTGAGTTCGAGGGTGAGGAAAGTATCGAGAGAGTTGAGGAGGAGAATGATTCAATAATAGCAAAGAGATACAACATGTAGTCAAGAAACTAGAGGTGCACCACCAAACAGAAGACAAGATAAATACACTACACCTAAACCACAAGCAGTTACATAAAATAACTTTGACACGAAGAGTGGTCATCTTCGGGGTGGGAGAGAAGGTCTGAAAGTAGTCAACTCCCTGCCGCTGACTGAAGCCTCGAGCCACGTAACGCGCCTTGAAGACAGGCGGAGAACCCGGCGGCCGCTTCACCCTGAAAATCCACATGCCACTGACGATGTTCGCCCCAGGTGGGGGAACCTCGTCGACGTAGGGGCCTATGGACTTCTCGGAAGCCATCTCTGCGTCCATGGCTGACTGCCACTAAGAGGAGTAGGGACCCTCGATCGCCTCAGCGTACGATCGAGGAGTCGGGATGTCTGGTGCATCCAGGTCTCCCTCAGGGGCAATCAGCGTGGACACGAGATGAGGCAAAGCGGCAGCAAAACACTGGAACTCCTCCTGCCCGTCCTCAAGGACGTCCGTGCTAAGAGCACACTCACCCCCGATGGACGGAGGACAGACAGACTCGGACTCAGCAACAAGACTAGTGGCGTAGTCTAGACGACAACGAGCAGCGAAGTCGACAAGCTCAGCCACTAAGGTAGACGCAGCAGTGGACTCAAAGGAAGGGTCAGTGACAACAGTCGCCAGGAGACGCGTGACAAAAGGACTGGCAGCACGAAGAGAGTCAGAGGCCGGGTCAGGGAGAACAGGAAGAGAGGACTCTGGAGGAGACGGCAACGGGACAAGCAGAGGAGCAGTGGAAGGACGCAGTGCCATCTGGTGTGTGCCTGGGACCCCAGGAGGACGCGGAGCACGACGACTAGCGCGAGCAGCACGAACAGGCGACGCAGGACGAGACGCAGGCTCCCGACGCTCAGCAAGACCTCCAGTAGGACCAGTGTAGGGAGAAGGAGCAGGAAGAGGGGAGGCAGGCTGTAACTTTGACTGCGACTGGACAGGTTGTGGACACTCTAAGGGAGGAGCAGGACCAGTAGAAGGCAGGAGGCCAAGAACCTGCTCAAGGAGCGGAACGAAGTACGGCCGCGGCCGCGCAGCGCCTCCAGAACCAGCAGGGACAACACAAGTACCCCTAGCGGTAGCACCAGCGCCAGCAGCACCTCCAGCTCCAACAGCGCTAACTCCAGCACCCTCAGACGCACCAGCGCCAGCAGAACCACCAACGCCAACACCCCCAGCAGCTCCAGCTCCAGCAGCACCAACTCCAGCAGGACCGGCAGCTCCAGTACCGCCAGCAACTCCAGTAGGACAAACTCCAGCAGCCCCAGCAGCACCCCCAGGCCCAGCAGCTCCAGCACCACCAGTACGGGCACCTCCGGAACCAGCAGCAACAGTAGTGCCTCCAGCTCCAGCAGCACGGCTCCAGCGCAGGGCAAACCACTCGCGCAGCTCCTGCGGAGAGAGTGGCTCCCGCCTCGACGAAGCACCGCTGGCGGTCACACGAGCAGACCTAGCGCCCCCAGGCTCCGCACCCCCAGGCTCCGCACCCCCAGGCTCCGCACCCCCAGGCTCCGCACCTCTAGACTCAGCACCCCCAGGCTCAGCACCCCCAGGCTCAGCACCCCCAGGCTCAGTACCCCTAGACTCAGCACCCGCAGGCTCAGCACCTCCAGACCCGGCACCCGCAGGCTCAGAACCTCTAGCAGCACCAGAGTCAACAGCTACCTCGACATGCTCGATTGCGTCTAGCTTGGACACACCTGACGGGGCAGGACCCTGAGGGGGGAGGGGGTCTACCGGGGGAGGACCTGGCACAAGGAAGAGCGACGGCGGGGGAAGGGGTGCAGCGCGGTAGGGGAAGAGACGGTAGTAAGGCACCGACTCGTCAAAGGTGACGTATTGGGAGGACAGAACACGGCGCGAGGTGGGGTGGTAAAACTGCCAACCAGGCGCGTCAGGGGGGAAGCCAAGGAAGACGCAGGGAACAGCACGGGGAGACGGCTTGTCCGCAGACAAGTCGCGGACAAACGCCCGAGATCCCCAGACCCGAAACGCAGACGCATCGCCAACCTTCCCCCTCCACCGCAAGGTGGGGGAGGTCTCTAGCAAGGAGACCCGGGGCTGAAGGTTGAGCTGATGCATCGCGTACTGAATCGCAAACGGCCACAGAAAATGGGGGGCAGCCGCATGGATCATGGACGTACGAGCGACGTCCATGACCATACCAATGCGGCGCTCAGCAATCCCATTTTGCTGTGGAGAGGCCAGAAGCGTGAAGGTCTGACAGATGCCCTGTGCACGACAAAAGGCTCCCAGACCGGCAGAGGAAAACTCCCCGCCTCTGTTAGAGTGTAGACGCAGAACAGGAAAGTCGGAGCCGAAACTCTCTCTGAGCTGGAAACGAGCTGCGCGGATCCAGTTGATCAACACCTCAGTGACTTCACCCTTGCTGCGCAAGGGGAAGACCGTGGTGTAACGCGAGTAGTCGTCAACCACCAACAGGAAGTAACGCTCGTGCCCCTGGCCACGGACGCGGGCGGGGCCCCACACGTCCATGTGAAGAGTCTGCAACGGAGCCTCTGTCGGAGGAAACTCAGAGGAGTGAGGGGCGGCGCGCTGTCGCCCCTTGACGCAGGGGACGCAGGTAGGGGCAGGCCCCGGAGGTAGGGGAGGGAGAGACCGGGGGAGACCAGAGACAAGGACACAGGAGGCCATGCCTCGGAGACGAGGCAGAGAGGGGTGACCAAGGCGGTTGTGCCAAAGGACAGTCTGGTGAGACAGGAGACGACACGAGCAGGGAGCAGACTCAGGACTAGACCTAGACGCTGCAGCAAACACCTGACTCGACGCAGCGACCTGACCAGGCTCAGCAGCCGAAGGAGACTCAGTAGTGAGGGTGTACAGGCTCGACCCCGGCCGATGGGTAAACGTGGCTAAGTGTCGGCCTGTCCGAGCACACGTGCAGTGGGTCACCCGCTGTCTCGCAGGAGTGAACTGGTCAACCCCCCTATCCTGTAGATCACCTCCACTCACCAAGTTCGTAGAGAACGAGGGAAGGTAGAGACCTGATAGGGTGCCAAAGGGGGCTGCCGGACACGGTAAGTCAGTGGAGAAGCGAGCAAGGTCAGGACCCCCAGAGGGGTCCGCTAGGGAGACTGCAACCGGCCGACTAAGCGGCGTAAGTGTGGTGCGGTCTCGAAAGAAGGAGCGGGAAGCACCCGATCAAGGGTGAAGGTGTGTAAGGCCTGAGCCGACTCACCAGCACCTGGGGCAGCAGACGCGCTAGCACCTAGAGCAGCAGCCTCACCAGCACCTAGAGCAGTAGGCTCAATGCCCGGGTCAGGCGGAACACACAGGTAACAGTCACCCTCAACACTATTAGCAACAGCATACATGACAGCAAGAATAGCATCAAAATCAAGATCAAAGATAGCAACCCCCGCCCTAGACAGCTCTCCCCAGCGAGGGATCTCAGAGGCCTCAGGGAACTGGTGACGCCACGCGTCCGTCAGGCGGCCGAAGCAGCGGTGGGTGGAGTGCGGGCCCGCGCACTGCTCACCTGCGCGGTCGCCGTTGCGGAGAACGTAGGTGCAGGGACCCGTACCCCCACCGCGCGGACGAGCAGCGTACCACTCACGAAGCTGCTGAGGGGACAGAGTCTCACGACTGCGCTGCTGCTGCTGGTGCGTACCACCACCGGAGCCACTCCTCTGCGCAGAGCTGCGACCAGGTCCACTGCTGCCGCCACCGCCTCCGCCACCTCCGCCGCCTCTGCCGCCTCCACCACCTCCGCCGCCTCCGCTCCCTCCGCCACCGCCGCCGCCTCCTCCGCCTTCACTGCTGCCACCGACACCTCCACCCCCGCCACCACTCCCACCACCACCCCCACCCCCTCCACTGCCTCCACCACCACCTCCACTGCCCCCGCCAGCCCCTCCAGCGCCCTTGCCCTTGCCGGTGCGGCGTCTCCCGCTCGGGGCAAACGCAGCGCCGACCGACTCAAAACCAACGAGGTCGGCCGCAGCAGCAGAGGCAACAGAGGGCAAGAGGATCACCACGAGAGGCTCCTACAGCGACTATGCTCTTCTCTGCTGCTAGGAGGCTCTTCTCGAGGAGGTCAACGGTGAGAGTGGTGGGGCAAACTGAGAGGAAGTGGTCCCTGACTACACGAAGAGAGTCAGGGAGCCAGGTGACTATGTAGTAGAGGGTGATGTACATGTTGGGGGGGTTCTTGGCGCAGAACTCAGCAGGAAGCGCAGCGCGGTAGCGAGTGTCACTAGTGCGGAGGTGCGTAATGAGGTCAGCGACTGTGGGGAAGGCAGCAAGGTCAGGGAAGAGGTACGGCAGCATGAGGCGGCTCAGTGCAGCAGTGGCAGGGGAGGAGTAGCGTGCAACTACAGCGTCTTACAAGGTCTGAGCACTCTTGTACTGGCTAAAGTGTGCACGCTCAGTGGTCGGTAAGTGGCGACGCACAGCAAGGCGAGCAGCAGCATCGCGTGTGGCCCACTGTGAGCGAACAGTGCTGTCAGCAGTAGCAGGCGGGGCAGGAGAGGCACCAGAGGTGAGATCGAACAGAGAGAGTCCGTCTGCCCTATCGCACTGGAGAAACAGCTGGAGGTCATCGACCCAGACCTGGGCGGCTCGGCGGCTGGGCGGCTCGGCTGCTGGGCAGCTCGGCGGCTCAGCGGCTCGGCTGCTGGGCGATTCGGCTGCTGGGCGGCTCGGCGGCTCGGCGGCTCGGCTGCTGGGCGGCTCGGCTGCTGGGCGGCTCGGCTGTTGGGCGGCTCGGCTGCTCGGCGGCTCGGCTGCTGGGCGGCTCGGCTGCTCGGTAGGTGGGTGGCTCTGCTGCTGGGTTGCTCGGCGGCTCGGTCGCTGGGCGGCTGAGCCGCGACAGGGCCGCTAGGGGAGGGTGACGGGGCCGCAGGTGGCGGCGACGGGGCCGCAGGTGGCGGCAACGGGGCCGCAGGTGGCGGCGGGGCCGCAGGTGGCGGCTGCGTGGCCGTAGGTGGCGGCGACGGGGCCGCAGGGGGCGGCGTCAGGGCCGCAGATGGCGGCGACGGGGCCGCAGGTGGCGGCGACGGGGCCGCAGGTGACGGCGACGGGGCCGCAGGTGGCGGCGACGGGGCTGTAGGTGGCGGCGACGGGGCCGCAGGTGACGGTGACGAGGCCGCAGGTGGCGGCGACGGGGCCGTAGGTGGCGGCGACGGGGTCTCAGAGGGGCCGCAGAGGGGCCTAGACGGGGCCGCAGAGGGGGCCGCAAGGGGCCTAGACGGGGCCAAAGAGGGGCCGCAAGGGGCCAAAACGGGGCGGCGACGGGGCCGTAAGGGGCCGGAAAGGGCGCCGCGAGGGGCCGAAAGGGGGCCGCGCGAGGGCCGTAAGGGCGGCGCGAGGGGCCGTAAGGGGCCGTAAGGGCAGCGCGAGGGGCCGTAAGGGGCCGTAAGAGCGGCGCGAGGGGCCGTAGAGGGCGGCGCTAGGGGCTGTAAGGGCGGCGTAAGGGGCCGTGAGAGGGGCCACTAAGGGCGGCGCGAAGGTAGGGAGGGCACACAGAGCGCGACTCGGGCAGGAGTGAAGCGCGCTCCGGGCAGGAAAAAAAATCGTGGTGGGCCCTAGGTAGCGTTCCCACTAGGGAACCTGCTCGATACCATGATAAGAAACGAGGAATGAATGAATTGAGCAGAATGAGGAGTACAAGTAGTAAACCCTAAAGTGTTGTACCCCATATGAACTGCCCCACTACAGCCTACACAGACTATAGCATATATGCCTGACACGTTAGCGGCCTTAAATACGAGATACAATATGAGGTGCGCCGATGCCACCCGACATCGCTCCTGGAAGCACCACGGTTGGCACAATCCACGGACGCACTGATGAAGTACGCGAGGTCGAGTTTCCGGGAGGGAAATCGTTTTCGCGGCCAGACCCAACGGGCCACAATCAACGGAGTCCATGCACTAGACCGCCCCTACATAGGGTTATAACCCGGTCACAAATATGCAGACTGCCCCGAGAGAAAGCCGGCGAAGAGGAACGACGGGAAAGAGCCGGGAAATGGGAAACAGACGGGCCCCTTACTGACTGTGCTCTGTCGCCCGAACACCATCATCCCAACCGAGTCGTGGTTCCGATTCATGCAATCGATCGCACTCGGCCAAATAACGGGGATAACCATGTGGATCACACTGTGCTGGTCGTTGGCAAAGTGTTAAAAAAATATTTGAAAATGTTCGTCGACGGAGGGGCCAGCCATAGCCTCTTCAACTTGGCGATAGCAAAAAAATGCAACCCCGTAATTGGCTGCGACGGCACAACCCCGTCATCGACTGGACAACGGGATCGTGCAGCATCAGCAAGCACGAGGGGCTAAGTAAATTGCATGCATGGACACCTGACTACATCCAAGCCCCGTGCGTCAAAGCCATCACTATTGCTCGCCACTTCAACCGAGGCGCGCAGCTGTTCGCCGTATGTTTGCGCGAGTTGGCTACCGACACCAACGGAAAGGAAATTGAGAAGCTGAGTGCAGCTATACCACCTGATTTAGCGGAGCTGATTCGACAGTAACCGGACATCTTCCCCGACGATCTGCCACCTGGACTACCACCCGAAAGACCTGAGGACCACAAAATCTAGCTGGAACCTGGCGCGCAGCCGACACTTCGGACACAGTGGCGGTTGACCCAACCGGAACTCGAGGAGCTGCGACGACAAATTGAGGGAATTTTTGAGAAAAGGTTTATTCGACCCAGTACATCCCCCTTCGCAGCCCCGATCCTGTTCACGCCGAAGAAGGATGGCTGGCTTCGCATGTGCATCGACTATCGCGCGCTCAACCGGGTGACCATCAAATCTCGATATCCAATTCCACGCACCGATGACCTCCTCGATCAACTTCGCGGCGCTCGCTATTTCTTGAAAATCGACTTGCGTGGCGGTTACCACTAGATTAGGGTTTTCGCCGACGAGTGTCACAAGACCGCGTTTTGCACCCGCTACGGAATCTACGAGTTCACAGTGATGAGTTCGGCCTCACAAACGCGCCTTCGACATTTCAACTGACCATGAACAGAATCTTCAGAGAATTTTCGACAAGTGTGTTATCGTCTATTTGGACGACATTCTGGTTTTTAGCAGGACAAGGGAACAATACCTCCAAGACATCGACGCAGTGTTTAAGCGGTTGCAGGAGAACCGCCTCATCCCCAAGGGCTCTACGTGCAAGTTCTTTAGGCAGGAGTTGGAATTTTTGGGGCACATCGTCTCGCGACAGCATCAAAATCGACCCGGCGAAAATCAAGACTATTCATGAGTGGAATGTCAAGTTTATATGCTATGGTGTATCTAGGCTATAGTGGGGTAGATACTACAGGGTACAACATTTCTAGGTTTTCTACTTGTACCCACCTTTTGCCTAGTCATTTCATTCCTCGTTCTTTCACATGGTATAGAGCAGGTTCCCTAGTGGGAACGTTTCCTAGGGCCCACCACGAAAATCATTTTTTTTTCCTGCCCGGAGCGCGCTTCGCTCCTGCCCGAGTCGCGCCCCGTGTGCCTGCCCTCCCGTCGCGTCCCCTGCCCTTAGTGGCCCGTCACGCCCTCTTACGGCCCCGTAGCGGCCCCTCTCACGGCCCCTCGCGGCCCCTTCGCGGCTCCCTAGCGGCCCCTCCGCGGCCCTTCGCGGCCCTTCGCGGCCCCTCGCGGCCCCTTCGCCGCTCTTCGCGGCCCCTAGCGGCCCCTTCGTGGCCCCTCGCGACCCCTTCTCGGCCCTGTCGCAACCCTTTGCGGCCCCTCGCGGCCCCTTCACGGCCCCGTCGCTGCCCTTCGGGGCCCCTCGCGGCCCCTTCACGGCCCCGTCGCCGCCCTTCGCGGCCCCTCACGGCCCCTTCTCGGCCCCGTCGCCGCCCTTCGCGGCTCCTCACGGCCCCTTCTCGGCCCCGTCGCCGCCCTTCGCGGCCCCTTCACGGCCCTTCGTGGCCCCTTTGCCACACTCAGCGGCCCCTTCTCGGCTCCTCTGCGGCCCCTTCACGGCTCCTTCACGGCCCTACCGCCCCGCCGTCGCCGCCCCAGCAGCAGCAGCCGCCGCCACCACTTCCGGGGCCGCCGCCGCTGCTGCTCACAGCAGGAGCCGCCGCCGCCGTGGCCGTGACAACCGCCACCGCCGCTGCCGGGGCCGCAGTCGTCGCCGCCGCCGCCGAAATCCGCAGCCGCCGCCGCCAGCCGCAGCCGCCGCCGCCGCCAACGGCAGCAGCCGCCGCTGCCGCTGCCGGGGCCGCAGCCGCCGCCGCCGCCGCCGACAGCAGGAGCTGCCGCCGCCGTTCCGGCCCTGCCTTGCAGAGAGGAGCGGCACTCCTCTGCTGCCCTGTCGCGGCCCTGTCCCTGCCGGCGCGCCTCGGCCCTGCCCCACCGCTTGCGGACCTCTACCCACCCGCCCTGGTAAGAGCACCGCCGAGCCGCGCCTCTGCTACTGAGCTGCTCCTAGCCTGCTGCTTCTGCTGCTAGCCTCCTGCTGCTGCTGTCATGGCTACCCCTAGCGTTCTCACCTTTGATGCTGAGGGTCGAGCTGTCGACTTTGAGGTCTGGGTCGATGATCTGCAGCTTTTCCTGCAGTGCGATAGGAAAGACGGTCTCTCACTGTTCGATCTCACGTCTGGCGCCTCTGCTGCCCCTGCTGCCGATGCTGACAGCACTGTTCGCTCACAGTAGGCCACACGCGATGCTACTGCCCGTCTTGCTGTGCATAGTCACTTGCCGTCCACTGAGCGCGCGCACTTTAGTCAGTACAAGAGTGCTAAGACATTGTACGACGCTGTAGTTGCACGCTACTCTTCCCCTGCCACTGCTGCCCTTAGCCGCCTCATGCTGCCGTACCTGTTCCTTGACCTCGCCGCCTTTCCCACAGTCGCTGACCTCATTACGCACCTTCGCACTAGTGACACCCGCTACCGCGCTGGGCTTCCTGCTGAATTCTGCGCCAAGAACCCCCCCACCATGTACATCACCCTCTACTACATAGTCACCCGGCTCCCTGACTCCCTTCGCTCGGTCAGGGACCACTTCCTCTCTGCTTGCCCCACCACACTCACCGTTGACCTCCTCGAGGAGCGCCTCCTGGCAGCTGAGAAGAGTAAAGTAGCTGTCGGAGCCTCTCGAGGTGACCCTCGTGCCCCCTTCTTTGAGGGGTGCCCCCCCTCCCCCCTTTTGCCCTCTGTTGCCTCTGCTGCTGCCGTCGACTTCGTTTGCACCGAGTCGGTCGGCGCTGCGTCTGCCCCTAGCGGGAGACGCCGCCACGGCAAGGGCAAGGGGGGCAAGGGCGCTGGAGGAGCTGGCGGGGGCGGTGGAGGTGGCGGTGGAGGCGGCGGAGGGGGTGGGGGTGGCGGTGGGAGTTGTGGCGGGGGTGGGGGCTTCGGTGGCGGCGGTGGAGGCGGAGGCGGCCGCGGCAGTGGCGGTGGGAGCAGAGGAGGCGGAGGAGGCGACGGTGGCGGCGGTGGCGGAGGTGGCGCCGGCGGCGGTGGAGCTGGTCGGGGTGGCTCTGCGCAGCGGGGCGGCTTCGGTGGTGGTCAGCGTCAGCAGCAGCAGCGCACTCGTGAGACCCCGCCCCCCCAGCAGCTTCGTGAGTGGTACGCTGCGCGTCACCGGGGTGGGGTTGCTGGTCCTTGTGCCTACGTCCTACGTACCGGCGACCGCACTGGTGAGCCGTGCGGTGGCCCGCACACCACCCAGCATTGCTTCGGCCGCCTAACGGACGCTTGGCGTCTCCAGTTCCCTGACGCCTCCGAGATCCCCCGCTGGGCCGAGCTACTTAGGTCGGGGGTTGCTATCTTTGATCTGGATTATGATGCTATTCTTGCTGCAATGTATGTTGTGTCTACTAGTGATGAGGGTGACTGTTACCTGTGTGTTCCGCTTGACGCGGGCATTGAAGCTGCTCCTCTAGGTCCTGGTGAGGCTGCTGCTCTAGGTGCTAGTGCGTCTGCTGCCCCAGGTGCTGGTGAGTCTGCTCTCTCAAGTACCACGTCGGCTCGGGCCTTACACACCTTCACCCTTGACTCGGGTGCTTCCCGCTCCTTCTTTCGAGACCGCACCACACTCACGGGGCTTAGTCGGCCAGTTGCGGTCTCCCTGGCGGACCCCTCTGGGGGTCCTGTCCTTGCCCGCTTCTCCACTGTCTTACCATGTCCGGCGGCCCCTTCTGGCACCCTGTCAGGTCTTTACCTCCCCTTGTTCTCTACGAACTTGGTGAGTGGTGCTGATCTACAGGATGGGGGGGTTGACCAGTTCACTCCTGCGAGTCAGCGGGTGACCCACAGTACGTGTGCTCGGACGGGCCGACACTTGGCCACGTTTACCCGTCAGCCGGGGTCGAGCCTGTACACACTTACTACTCAGTCTCCTCCGGTTGCTGACTCTGGTCAGGTAGCTGCGTCGGGTCAGGTGTTTGCTGCAGCGTCCAGGTCTGGTCCTGAGTCTGCTCCCTGCTCGTGTCGTCTCCTGTCCCACCGGACCCTCCTCTGGCACCACCGCCTTGGTCACCCCTCCCTGCCTCGTCTCCGAGGCATGACCTCCCGTTACCTTGTCTCTGGTCTCCCCCGGTCCCTCCCTCCCCTCCCTCCGGGGCCTGCCCCTACCTGCGTTCCCTGCGTTGAGGGGCGGCAGCGCGCCGCTCCTCACACCTCCGAGTTTCCTCCGACAGAGGCTCCGCTGCAGACACTTCACCTGGACGTGTGGGGCCTCGCCCGTGTCCGTGGCCAGGGTCACGAGCGTTACTTCCTGTTGGTGGATGACGAATACTCGCGTTACACCACGGTGTTCCCCTTGCGCAGCAAGGGTGACGTCACTGAGGTGTTGATCGACTGGATCCGTGCAGCTCGTCTCCACCTCAGAGAGAGTTTCGGCTCAGACTTTCCTGTTCTGCATCTGCACTCCGACAGAGGCGGAGAGTTTTCCTCTGACC